ATAAACAATATATATAAATGAATAACAGTGAACTTAATTGATTAAATGATTATGTTTAACGTGAATGAAAAGAATGGTTATGTGTAAGTGTACATGTTAGAAATGATTACTGACAACATCTTTACTTGATGGTGTTAATACTTGCTTTTATTCCACAATAAAAGATTTCGTTGTACATTTAAATAACATAACTATAATCGTTATTAGCTAAAGAAAAAAAAGGGAATTATTTCGCATGTTCTGCTCTTGACAAATTTACGTTAGGTTTTTGAGTGGTTGAGAAATGGTCGATAAACTGAGGTGCTTTGTTTGAAGTTGGTTTTTTTTTTTGCTACATTTGTTTTCTAAACTAATTGGTTTAGTGCATTTTACTTGATTGAGGTCCTTCAAAACTTGATATTTGAAAGTTGTACTGTTAATAGTGCACAATTATTTCACAGTTACACCAATTATCAAGTAATTGTTACAAATTTCTTGTTGCAAAAATAAGTAGTAATATTTCCATAGATGTGTGAGCTCTGTTTATTATATCGCTAAATGTTAATAACTATAGTGTGTAGAGATAATAGATGTGTGTATTTGAACTGAATACTTAGTGCACGTTTATGTAAGAGATACTGTTATTAAAACAAACCATTCTGTGTAAAATGTTTGATAATCATATTGCACAAGTAAATCAGCTACCCGACTGTTACTGAGAAATACGTGTAGTGCTATGTTGTAATGTATAAACTTTAAACTCTACCAGTTTCAATACTTCTACTAATCTCACAGGATAGTCAGATTTCCTATATATATATATAGTGGAAAACAAAATTACTGATAACAGTACAAAACATATGTATATTAGTTTATACCTACAGTAAATTCATCAAAAATATTACAATCAAAAGACATGAATTTCCAAGTAAAACATTTATCTCAAGTAGAACAATTTCTGGTTTTTCTGTTGGTGAAATACTTAGTGTACAGTCAATGGAAGATACATAGGAAAGTTTCTTGAAATGGCTGCTGAAACCGTAAAAGTAATCGTAAGATGCCGTCCTATGAACCAAAGAGAAAAAGATTTAAAATGCAAGGTATGTTCACTTTACTTTTATTTTCAACTTTATTATTTGAATATTGTGGAAATATAAATAAGCCACTGTAAATTAAAATGTTTAGAAATATTTTAGAATGAGGAAAAAAAAACAAAAGATGTAATGTTAGCTGTGTAACAGTTCTGATACTTTTCTAAGTAGTTTCGTCTATCACTTCATATGATAATTTCCTGTAATTGTAAAGGAAATGATTTATCAAGATATTTGAAATGGTTTCAACAAAGTATTTTGAAAGATCTTACCAGATAGGATAAAAGACCAAATGTTTTCTTTGCTTTAGATCATATTAAAGATGGATTCCAGCTGTGGACAATGTTCAATCATCAACCCAGCTGATCAAAGTGCTCCACCGAAGGTCTTCACTTTTGATGGAGCTTATTATATGGAATCCACGACTGAACAGTTATATAGTGACATTGTCTTTCCCATTGTTGATGTAAGAACTTCTAATTACTAACCATTAACTTGTATATTTATTTATAGTTCTTAAGTAGCAAATATTTGATTATATATGTTTGTGTGTTTGTGAAATACCATCTATTATCATTAAGAAAATTTGCAATTTTCAACAGTAGTGCTGAAGGTCCATTCTGAGACTCTCTACATACTTGGCCAAGAGAACATTACACGTGTACTTATTATTTTATGATAATTGTAGTACATAAATCTTTCGTAGCGACCATCGTTACGTATGCTGAGGTTTCGCACTCTCTCGAGCTAGTAGCCTTGAGGTTGTAATGAGCTATTTCTGTAACATGTACAACTAGGTCATCAACAGTAGCCTCAACGTAAAGATACATCGGGTAATGTAGGGAACTCATTATTAACAGTTTTTAGACATGCGTGTAAGGTCATCCTGTTTGTATCTCTTGACATAAACCTTCTATTAAAGTATTTCGTAGGCCCGGCTTGGTTAGGTGGTTAGGGTGCTCGACTCGCATCTGAGGGCCGTGGGTTCAAATCCCTGTCCCACCAAACATACTCGGCCCTTCAACCATGGGGGCATTATAATGTGATGGTCAATCCCACTATTCGTTGGTAAAAAAGTAGCCCAAGAGTTGGCGGTGGGTGGTGATGACTAGCTGCCTTCCCTCGAGTCTTACACTGCCAAATTAGGGACGGCTAGCACAGATAGCCCTCGTGTAGCCTTGCACGAAATTCAAAACAAACAAAGTACTTAATTTGACCAAAAATGTAGTATAAATTAATTTTATGGCTTTTGCACAAATTGGTTCTATAAAAATTTAAGAAACCTTAGATATTCAGTGAAAACTTGATAACTAAAATTAAAAAAAGAATAACTTAACTGTAAAGATTGCTGTAAATGTGTTTTGGAAATGTGCCTTTTATCAAACGAGCTTAGCAAATTAATGTCTATGTAATAAATAATTTGAATTATTTCCACCTGCTTTACTTATGTTAATTTCGTAAATATATAATAACTAATTTTTGTTTTTTTCCACTTATTTGCTTATGTTAAGTGTGATAACAAAATCTGTATATGTGTTAAGTGTAAAGTATATGTGTTAAGTGTAAATGGTTAATAACAGAAAATTCATGAATGATTGAAATAATGTTCGTTTTCAACGTTAGAGTGTTACAGAGGGATACAACGGAACTGTGTTTGCCTATGGACAGACAGGTTGTGGCAAGTCTTTCACCATGCAGGGAGTTACGAGTCCTCCAATGCAGCGTGGTATAATTCCAAGAGCCTTTGAGCACATCTTTGAGGCAATAGAAACAACCGACAACACAAAGTACCTTGTTCACGCTTCGTTTCTGGAGATTTACAATGAAGAAATTAGAGACTTGTTGGGAAAGGATCACAAGAAAAAACTGGACCTCAAAGAACACCCAGAGAAAGGAGTTTATGTCCCAGGTGAATTTCTATCTTCCTATGTTATAAAGTTTATAAATAAAACTCAATCAGTTACCTTATACCGAGGTAATTCATCATTCCAGGTGTTTGTTATGGAAAATAGTTTAGTTTCAGTTTTCAATTTCGTGTTATTTTATCAAGATTTTTTTTGTCGATTAATGAGAAGTACAATTAAATATACAGAAACACACTCTGTTGCCCCTGTTTCTCCTACATAAAGATATTGATAAACTTAAGTACGTGTTATAATTGTTTGAACACAATGGTATTTTCTTTTATTACAAAAGAGGGACTGACATTTTCTGGCTGTCCGACTTCATTAAGTATTTCCAGTTTTTTTTATCCTTTGGTGTCAAATCTGTATGTAGCAGTTTGTTTGTCTGCCTGGATTTAAAAAACTTCTGAAAAGGTTTTTTCCTTTTTGTTTGGAAGTGATTTTTTTCTTCACCATTTTTACATAGATGTTTAATTTTATCCTTCCTGAAATACATACACAGTAATTTATTTTTCAGTCACTTTCAAATTTATTAGATGATTTTGAAAACATGCATGTCATTTTTTGTACATGTAGTCAAGGCAACATACTTATTACTTGTTTAAAACTATAAACGCATTTTTATATTAACACTGTTTGATCTGTTCCGAGTTCATCTTCTGCCCTTTCCGTCATATTCACATACTATTTTGTTATTATACTTTGTTCTTTTCTGTATATTGCTTGACAAAGTAAAAGTTGTTATCATGTGTTCTGTGATGTTGTCTTTGATTTTCTAACGTTACTAGGAATTTTACATGAATGCACTCCATATTCATATTTTCAGTTAACAAAGTAAAAGTTGTTATCATGTGTTCTGTGATGTTGTCTTTGATTTTCTAACGTTACTAGGAATTTTACATGAATGCACTCCATAGTCATATTTTCAGTTAACAAAGTAAAAGTTGTTATAATGTGTTCTGTGATGTTGTCTTTGATTTTCTAACGTTTCTAGGAATTTTACATGAATGCACTCCATATTCATATTTTCAGTTAAAAGTTGTTTTGTTCACATACCATCATATCTCTCCTTCTTGCATTACTTCGTGCAAACAGGTTATTTTTTAATAGGTTTATGAGTAATTGGGTCATCTTAACTGGGTGATGGCCAAAGAGCAACTTGTTTGACAGCACTGAATAGCTAAAACGACTACAGACAGGGATCCTTCAACTGTTTGTTTGTTTCTAAGAATTTCTGAAGATGACAGGTCCAAAACAACATTAATTTCTACACCTGTCCACCAATGTAAAAGCTACTGCGTATTGAAATGCTCATAATGGTAATAAGAACCTTACAGAAGTCCTCCGGGAAAGACTTTTACTGTTAGACATTATTTCTCTTACTAAAATGCCCTTTCATTGCACTGTTTCATAGAATTGTTGAACTGCTTCGTATTGTTATCGTGTCAATATTTGTATATTATTAGGACTTTCCCTTCACCCAGTACATAATGTACAAGAATGTGAGTTAGTGATGGAGCAAGGCTGGAAGAATCGATCAGTGGGGGCCACGTTGATGAATGCAGATTCCTCTCGTAGTCACTCGATCTTCACCATTCATTTGGAAATGATGGAGATGGATGTTGAAAGTGATCAGAAGATTCGTCAGGGGAAACTCAACTTAGTGGATTTGGCAGGAAGTGAGCGACAAACTAAAACAGGTGATTTGTTTTCTTCTCATATTAATAAACTGAAAATAAACATTAAAACACAGAAATTTTTATTAGTATGTATAAAAGTACTTAAAAGGTAGGATCTGATCTGATCTGACCTTGCTGACTAACTTGATGAAAGAATAAATGAATCAGAAAAGAAACTTTTAAAGAATAAGATATATGCATATATTTCTGATACGGTACATTACCTACGCTCACATAAATAGTTATTTTCGTTCAGTGCTGACCTCTATGTGCAAACAATTTTTTTGTGCATGCCACAAGTCTTGAAGCTCCCACATCTGGAATTTACTGATTTCAATGTGTCTTGGAAATACATTTTTAGTATGGGAAATTTAACATTTGAGATGTTGATGTTACAGAATGATATAATTGTACCTCAATTTAACAAGTTTGAAATATTCTCCTCTCAAGTAGAGTCTAAGTGGATGATAAAAAATGAAATATTCCTTAACAGTAACAAGATTTACTGAATTATTTTAGTTTAACCCTAGAATTAAGAGCAGGGGTTCATATGGACTCTATCGCTTTTCAAAAACATTTTTCCAAATTTGTTATTTACCACACTGCTTGTTGGCCAATGATTTTTTTAGTTACATAATTTCTAATAATATATGAACCATCAAAAGATGTTTCTTTGTTTGTTACGGATTTCGTGCAAAGCGACACGAGGGCTATCTGCGCTAGCCGTCCCTAATTTTGCAGTGTAAGACTAGAGGGAAGGCAGCTAGTCATCACCACCCATCGCCAACGCTTGGGCTACTCCTTTACCAACGAATAGTGGGATTGACCATCACATTATAATGCCCCCATGGCTGAATAGGCTAGCGTGTATGGTGTGACGGGGATTCGAACCCGCAACCCACAGATTGCGAGTCGAGCACCGTAACCACCAAAAGAAAGTTGAACAAATTTATCATCAATATTTCATTCAAGTCAGGCACACCTACCAGTAAAATGCTGAAAGCCTTTTCTTCTAACTCATGCTGTCCAAAAATGTGACTCAAAATGTTTGATTGTTCTTTACTTATGCATGTCACCTACCCATAATACTCCATATTATTTATTGAACATGCCTCAGTGGATTACCCATAATACTCCATATTATTTATTGAACATGCCTCAGTGGATTACCCATAATACTCCATATTATTTATTG